ACCTTCAAAGTGTATGCACATTTGCAACAGAGCTTGAACAGTTTGACACCGTACTTGTGGCTCTTAGATTTGTTGAATTGCTTAAATACGATCCGTCCTTTGAATGGTACCATTGTTTCATCAATGTAAATTTCCTTTTCTGGCTTGTACATTCGTTGAAAGGAAGAGTTGAGTAAGTCCAAAACCGGTTGATTTCTATAGAGTCTACTTTTTTGTCGGCATTCTCCTTGTCTACGAAGTGTAAGCATGATAGCGGGGCTTTAAAACGATTTCCAACTATGATTTTCACAGAACATACGAAAATAGGCTTCGTAGACCAGTAATCACGCATGCTCGGCAGCTTGACAATTCCCACGTAGAGACAGATGCCCAAAAGTCGTTTCATTTCCTCGACAGTTGTATCGGTCCAGTCTTTATTCCTAACCATCATTTTCTCTTTTGCATATCTATTCGTCTCTGTAAACATGAAATCCAACGATTCATTTGTTAGGAAGAGCTGGTAGCAATCGTACAATTCTGAACAGAGTCATCTGGTCCGTTTTCTTCAGTGAAAACGAATCGGTCATAGGGAATAGCGACCTCATCCCAAGATTGTTCATCATCTTCTTCACAATCATCTTCATGCTCGTCATCCTCGGACGAATCATACTGAACTGGTACGACCAAAGGTTGAACAGAGTCTTTATTCAGCAAAGTCTCGTTTTCCTCGCCAATACTGGCCGACTCATCTGAGGAGCCATATGGCCTTGCGAAGTCGTCCATCATGGTGTTCAAGAGTGGTCACTTACTGACTTCTTCAGCCTTTTGGAGTCACTACGTCGAATTTGGCTTGGGTTATACTTTTCAACGGCCTGTATTATGTATTTGCAGTCATGTGACCGTCCCGCGCACTCATGTGACCGTCCCGTCGTCTAACATGGCAGTTGCAAAGCATAATTTGATATTCAAAGGCCCTGAATTTGATACGAATTTCTACTACAAACATTATTCTCAGAATTTTGCCCTACATTGCTTCCCAGCCCAAATGCCTTTTTCAGGCCTCACATAATTATAATGGATGAAATGGGGTCTAAATACTTTCATTTCGAGCGGAATATTGCTAAAATTATCAATCCAAAGAAGGGAGTTTCTCCTGGGACCATGGCACCCACTTGTTGGTGCCAGCCGCGCACGAAACGGTGGGGCGTGGTCCTATGGGCGCGTCACGTCGAAAACGGCGTTGTCGTCAAATGGCTAAATGCCGTGAATTGGCGGCTTACCACTAGTTCACCAACACTGAGTGGGCGTCGCCGGTAGTCCCGGTGCAAAAAAAGGGCTATACGATCCGATTGTTTATAGACTACCGACGACTGAACTTATGCACGAAACACGACGCCTATCCTCAGCCAGGAATTGATGCGAGGCAGCAAAACCTACAAAGTAAACGATATTCCCCAACACTTGATATGGCGTCAGGTTACTGACAAATTCCCCTATCTGCTGCAGCAAAGAAGAAAAGTGTTTTTTTCACGTCGGAAGGTCTCTTCCAATTCGCAGTTATTCCATTCGGATTGACCACATCATCCTCCGTGTTCCAACGCCTAATGGATACGGTGCTCAGTGACTTGAAGAGTAAGGGAGTTTTTGTATACATCGATGACATCCTTATTGCCACGACGTCAGAATCGAGACACTGCGAAATCATAAGCATAGTTGTGGACGCGTTGCTGAAGACTAATTTGCGATTGAAGCCTCAAAATTATGTGCTATCTCAAGAGAATGTGACGTTTTTGGGTCACGAGATGGTTAAAAAGGGAGTACACGTAAACCCGAACAAGGTGGTAAAGATAAAAAGATTCCCGAAGTCTACGAATATAGCAGAACTCCGGACATTTCTCGGTATGTGTAGCTACTACCGAAAAGTTGTTCTTAGTTTTTCGAAAATAGCAAGTGCAATGGGGTGTCGAGCAGGAGGAAGCATTCAACAAATCAGAGGGGGTGCTGTCGACTACACGAGTCCTGGCATAACCAGATGTAGAAGGAGCGCAATCGAGTAAAATATCTACATAATCTATACAGATGCCTCCTACGCGGGCGTAGGAGTAGTGCTCTGCCAGCGAGGAATGGATGAGTTTCTCCACACAATGTACTTTGCATCAAAAGTCTATCAAGAGCCGAGCGTAATTATCATGACACAGATCTCAAAGCGTTCGCTCTCGTATACGCTCTTAAGAAATTTCATTTCTATATTTACGGCATGTAGGTGATCCCAAGAACAGATCACGCACCGCTCACTGCTATATTCCGGAGAGCCAGTCTTTCAGCTTGCATACTGAGATGGGCCTTGGAAGTCCAACAGTACAGGTTGTCTATTGAGCTTCCCCAAAAACTAAAAGTATACGATGCTTCCAAAAAAGCCAAAGTGAAAGATGTGTCAAATCTGAATTGCAATCCGCAGAGTACCGCCAAATTCCAGCTCGGAAACACAAACACTTTTTATGAATTTTTCAGTAAAGGATGCTTTTCCAACGTATCCAAATGATACAGCCACTTCATGTCATCGTGTCGTGTTTTAGTTTAGCGCAACGAAATTGCTCTGCTTATGTAATGTTCTCCATTTTCGGGCAATAGGAAGAGGAAAGTTGCTTTTGGTATTCAAGAAAGGTAAAACTCTCGCGAAAAAGGAGCAGGAACTGTCGAATCGCAGATCGCGCGAAATTTGAGCCGATGCCATTCAGTGGTGGATAATTTCATCAAAAATCTTGAAGCGTGTGGAACCAGAAGAATGCTGAACGTGTCCACTGCTCTCCGACAGAGACATGCGCGTCGGAAAGCGACGAGGAAAGCGTCGAACTCCATCAAGTATTGTATGGAATCCGATCGTCTCTGAACCTCAATGTCTCGAAAAACACAGTTTGGAGGGTGATCAGAAGGTCCAAGCTCAACGTCAAGCGGAAAAAGCGCAATGCGCCCTTCATGGCAGAAGAACATGTAGAAAATGCGGTCGCTTTCGCCAGAAGGTGCAGCCTAACCGAATGGAATAAGGTGCTCTTCAGGTGCCGACGTTTTGTACCAAGGAAGATAAACTCATCCTTTTATATAACTGTTATGCGCCGTGCACTTCTCCCTTTCTCGCTCCAGAATCGGCACCAAAATCTTGTTTTTATGCAAGATAACTCCCCAATTCACGTCAGCAGGAGCANCCAAGCTTGGTTCTCTCGGCATCGGGTTGCATTCAGCTCTGGCCGGCGAACAGCCCCGATTTGAATCCGAAGGAAAATGTATGGGCTTCATGGTGAGGAAGATTCACACCCAAAACAAGCAATTCCGGGGCGTCAAGGAGTTGGAAAAAGCGTTCATTGAAGCATGGCACCATGTTGACCAGGAGCTCACTGAAAATTTTCATTCGAGCCTAGACCACCGTATTTTCAAAGTAATTCGAAAGAATGGTGGGTCAGCTGATTACTGACTTCGCCACTTTCACTACTTGTTGAATGTTAGTTGTTAAATAAATTGATTTTGTTAGTGGCTGCATCATTTGGAGACGTTGGAAAAGCACCATTTACTGAAAAATTGATCAGAAAAATGTTTGTTCCCGAGCTGGAATGTGCTGATAATGTGGGAATTACAATTCAGATTTGACACATTTTTTACTTAGGCACTTTTTCAGAAACATCGTATACAGTGACTTTTTGGGAAAATGAGAGTGGCTATTTCGTTTGGAGACGCACTGTATGTGAAAGGGAAAGCAAATCCCGTGGCTGATGCACTATCACGAGGCGTTCGCATGAATGCAACGGAGGCAGGAGACACTTTACTGAGGAAAAGGTCGTATGTAATGTTGGGACATAGGAGAGCACAGAATGGCTAGAGGAGCTACGAGAGGATGAGGGCTATAGACCTATTACCGTTGCAATGGAAAAATGAAGCCTCGACAATGAAGTGAAGCTAAAAAAAATAAGGGTCGCTGAGTTCTTGATAGAAGGTGGGCATCTGAAATTCATAGTGAGAAATGGAACATCGGTTGTGGTTGTTCCTAAGAAAAGGAGAAAAGCAATTTCCGATGAGAACCATAGTGGCCCCTTGGCAGATTTCCTCTAAGACCTAAGACCCAAAAACTACGGAAGGTCGTGTAAGGGGCATTATGCACCAATATGTACACCGCTGGGTGAAAGGTTGCAAAAGTGTGAACTGACTAACCCGCACAAACACGTGATTCCCTCTTGAAACCTTTCGTGACAGGAAGACCATTTGGGATAGTTGCAGCCGACATACTGGAGACGAGCCCCAGTTCGTCAGGGATGAAGTATATGCTAGTAGTTGTGGACCACTTTTCCAAGTAGGTGGGCGCATGGGATGCCCTACAAAAGCGTTGCCACGCCACATGAAGCCACAGGCGAAAGCACTTTCTTCATCCTGCATGGAATTGATCCCTGGAATTGTACTTGGAGACAGCAGCAGTTGGTATCCTACCCGAAGGGTACAATACCAACTGCTGCTGCCTCCAAGTAGAAGTTTCTGTTGATGACTATAAGAAGGAGTTACTCAAGGGTCTTAAGCTGATAAGAAAAGGGGTGAAAGCCAAAAATGAGAAATACAGGGCTTAATGAAGGAGATGTATGAACGGCGCAAGAACGTGCAGTGGACTGGAATACGCCATATCGTGTTTTACAAACTGATGAAACATCCGCGCTTATAACGATAACAGGTTGAAATGGGATGCTATAAAAATAAAATACGATCTGCTTCTAAAGTGTCCTGATGAGAGTTTAATGAGCCGGTTGAAGCAAAAACGAGACAGAAGAGAGTTGAAAAAGTTTTTTTCCTCTCGTTGTTAATGATCTACGT